CATATTCTACAAATCTTTAACATGCGTTTTTCAGAAGCTTTTTAATTAAGACCAGGTTGTGTGCCAGTTCAAAGCCAATGATATGTATAGCTTTCGCTAAGAATCAACATCTAACGGATGATTTTTTCCATAAACTTTACCCGAACCATATTTCTAAATTTCAACTATCGTCCATTCGAAGTGCATCCAAGTAGGTTCAACTACGTATGATCAGTTTATTCAAGCAAAAGTACTGCATTTCTTAATAATCACTACTTCCTACAAGGCCGAATGCATTACGGTCCCGGCAAAGGACGGCCCATGGACATATTGTGACTAGCATCTATGTACTCTAAAAGCAGAAACTGCTCCTACTAAAGCACAGTAGGCTGGCTAAGAACTCGTCCGAGGCCTAATATCAGCTCATCGACCGTTCTGTCGTCTGTCGGTCGTCCGCGGTTCCCTTGATGGCATTACACTTTTGTGACAAGCTTTCAATAGAAAAAGGCAACTTGTTACTATCTCTACAAAGTATACTCTTGCGGTTCCAAGCAACTTTTGAAGCCAACAGTTTATTATATTGTCCAGGCCGGTTGAAAAAACCCAAACGCTAGAAAGCAGGTTATTTGGTCATTATACAAAGCATTACAGCTACAAATATCGCACCCCAATACTTTACCTTTTTAATTACTTTACCTCTATGAATGTCAATCATACAGATTGCTTCTATTAGTATTAAGGATATATATGTATATATATAACGGATGTTTAATAAACATTTTTTTAATTATTTCGTTTCTTTCTTGAATAATCGCAGTATTTGGTCGAAACACTGAAGTCGATTCTGGCGCGCTTTTTAAATGTCTGATATTATGGTAAAGTTTTGTAATGTTTAGATTGTTCGCTTAATGGTTAGATTTGTGTGATTTGAGACCCTTTGTTAGGTCAGGTGCGAGACCAGACTGTGTCTTTGAAATGAAAAAACGACGACGAAAGAACAATATTCTATTGTATCGTCATATGCACTGATGTTGTAGGTACCTACAAGGTAAATCTTAGTAACTTTGTGGTCAAAAGGGCAAAACCAGAGATGTCATTCATGAACGTAGCGGCCTTCGGGTTTTCCGTTACCCACCTTCGATTCCGGTTAATGCAGACATAACGTGCAGGTGACTGACTTCGGGTCTGTGCACACAATTTCATGCGGACCTTTCTTAGGGCCGATAACTTCTCGCTACAAGGCTAGTCATTATCGACTGTATACCACTTTTGAAACCGTACACTAAATACTTTGAACCTATTTCACTCAGAAAGCAATATAATACCACACTTATGAATCCTATATGAGTGAAATTCTGCGATGCACCTAAATCTGTAGCATGTGTAATTTCTATGCCCAAACCGAAAAGCGAATTGGGTTTCTACTATTTTTTTCTCTTAGCTTTAGCTTTATATTAACTTGTCTTAGGTACATTCCAACAATATTCTCGATCGGGATTAGGGAATCTATATAACGTATGCTTGACTGCTGGCGTTCGGCGTGGGCACTCCTTGAACCAACTACAGAGCAGATTTATTATCGCAAACATCCTATCTAAAAAGTGAATTTCTCTAAAAAGCCACGCGCAGCGCTTATTGTAGTGATTTCTAATAGTTTGAAATTAATAATAGCTAACTGTGTCTTTCTGTAACGAAAGTAATATAGCTGAATGTATAGATGATTTGCAGTTTCGATCAAACCAATATATAACTGAGATCCTACCGTGCTGTTACTATCCATTGTTGAGGTTGGTCTTGAGGCTGAGCTAGCTTATCAGATAATCTTCTTCATAGAGTACTTCCTAGGAGAAACACTGCATATAAATTACGGTCCTGATTACATGCTCAGTGTTAATCCACGCTTCTAAAAGTTCTAAAAATATTAACTCGTAAACACGTCAGCTAGAAAAGGAACATATCCCTGACCAACTTATCAACGGTATCTCACACAATTAAGGGAAGCTAATGCCACCAACTTCGTAGACGATTTGCCTTAATAGACACCGAAAGTAATCCCTTAAGTGTTCACAAAGCTCTCCCGGAGCCGCGCTTCGTTAGAGAAACCCTTGGGTACTCGTTTGAAGAAAACATGCTTCAGTATCGGAATCCAGTTGGCAGTGGGGGAAATATCGTCTTAACTTAATGGCAAGGGCAAAACAGAGAGGGTACCCTCACCTTCAAAGGGAATAGTCAATGGAACACAGTAGGCTAAAAAAGCAACTATTTTATATATGCCCTTATGGGGAGCTTCGCGTGTTCAGTGTCTATACAAGAAGAAAAATATCCCGTATTAGTCGTTCATTCAGCATAATTGTTTTTTCTTTTTAAACTAGTCAAAATCTCCGTTAAAGACAGTCCAGAAAAAATTGCGCCAAACGTTCAATACGTTTTCGATATGTACAGCATATAGCATGTGTGAGGCTGCTGGGAAGTAGATAAAATTTCCCATTGAGTCGTTTAGACATTAACAAAGACATGCGGTAACCGAAAGTCGCGGCCATAGAAAAACAGTTTTGAAAAATGAATTATGATTAGCTTTATTTTTCGATAAATTCGCAAATAAATAAGGCAGCAACATATCATAGAAATGTAGGTATTTCATCATATTTTTCATAAGATTATTATGTACGTTATTACTGTGTCGGATTGTATTTGACATCTCTTATTTTCTCACACACAGCGCACTTCTATTGAAAAACTAGCTTTACTCTTCTTCGCACCTAGTCCTGGTTAATGGACCACGATTTTTCACTAGAAAAATTACTTACTTTTACTAAACCGTTAGCCTTGACATTTGTCATTCTAACAGGTGTTTTCTGCTATAGCTTTAATACAAGCTCAAAACTGAAAGCCTAGCAATCATTAACATTGATCACTTGAATTTTAATAAGAGCAAACGCTTTTCTCAGTTCTATCTAATCACTGTTGACCATAATATTTTGAAGCATATTTTTTCTTTTTTTGCATAAAAAATGCATATCTGCTGACTGATGTTTTCTATCAATCTTCAGTGACATTAGTACCAAGTACAAGCTTAGCATAGGCAGTCAAAGGATAAACACGCATCATAGATCCCGAATAGGTGTATTAAGGACAAACAAGTTCCAGTGGCATATTGTTTACCTATTTTCTTTTGCACCAAAATTGTGAAATACGTTTCAGGTCTAGATATTCTAGAGTAAATGAGGCGGTAATAATATAGTAAACATGGTATAGTTATGCGTGCCGCATTTTCTTCTTCACTTTGACGTCTAGCCATTGACGTTTGTAATTCTGAAGGGTGCGATTCTCCAGCGCAATTGTATATTATACCGGACAGATTCATTGCAACAAACGCTAAGTTGTTTATCTTCAACATAATCCACTTGATTTATATCATGAACACGCACAATGCTAGAAATGAACGCGTTTTTGTTTATGTAAATAATTGTCAAATCAGCCTTTCCTAGGTGAAATCATCAACTGAACTAAGATAGAAGTTACCGAACAATGAAAATATTTTATAAACTTTACAAAACTGGTTTTCGTATTTTCCAAATAAGTAGATAGACAAAATGCATCATCTGTATAAATGTTCAACTTGTATAGCATATGTTATAACATTACGGCGATAGAACTTGACTGCGTGCTTGTATACACTCTTTGTATTTCATTATTATCTTGTGTAAAAAAAATGATAAAATATATTTTTAAATTATCGGAACATAATTGATTATATGAGAGTCAAAAATTTACCGTTCTATTAGGATCTATATCGTATAAATGTATACTATTGTTGAAACTCTTTTGTCGAAATCCTCTATTTGCCTTATAGCTTGGGTACTAGAAAATAACTATGGAACCTATGTGTTTCGCCTATAGAGCTTTACTCCTTGCCATGAGTAATATGAGTTAATAAGCCTTCTATGATGCCATTTCAGCACTTTTTCAAATCCAAATACCTAACGGTGCGCGCAAATCGTCACTCCATCCTCGTAAATCGTGTCTTAAAGGACAACAGATTTTTTTATAGGCTTCGTTTCCAACGAGTAGTCATTATGGATTCCTTAGTTATATACTTTATTACTACGGTTTACTTTTCGTCATCATAGACATTAACTCATTGTTTGCCTTTGGCCTATGCCACTGACGAAGTATAATAATAGAGATAAATATTATTTCAAGCATAATTATCTTTAAGATTGTATATATATTATAGTGATCATGTTGTTAGTTTCTTTCGTTGTCTAGCCATTCAACGACTTGTTTCATTGTGTACATCGGTCTTCGGCAATACAAACTTGGTTGAATCTAACACTTGAATAGCTTATGGTTAAATTCTTTTATCTCTCGGTAATTTTACCGGTATGACTGTATCGAAGTCATGTCTTATGCGCAACAGTTACCGCGGTGGCTGGCCATTGGCTTTTTGGGTCAATCGGACTTGTGTCGTCTTCAAAAAAATCATTCGCACACCACACAGTCTCTCCGCACAGTCTTTAGGCCATGCAGGGGCATGAGAGCCCACTTTTCACATAACGACGACATAAAAGTCACCCCAAGAATATACTTCACCTAGTGGAACTTGTAGACATGATCAAATAATTTAAGATAAAATTAAAATAAGATCAGAATTTATTTCTATCGTCTAGAGCTAGGCCTATAGCTAAATGTATAACTGCTGCGTGTCGTTGTTTGCCAGATCCGATCTACATTCCGCGTCCATAAAGCCGAAGTGCCGAGGTATACAATAGGGTGAACTTGTTTCTTTTTTGTTTGCAATCGAATCAGTAAGGATAAAAAAGGACCGTTCTATCTTAACGAGAACCTGTTCATGATCTCTAAAAGGACTTTCGTCTGTGTAGTCATTAGCGCTTTTGCAACGGCTCGCTGTCCAAACAATGCTTTCATTGCTGTTACTTCTAGCGCTATTAGTTCCACACAAAAATATATCATTTATACTCTGCCTTTGAATGATCAGCATTTTTCGTTGAAGCTGCTGATTTGCAGGGCTTCTTCGGGAATGACATCGTCGATATGGGCCGTTAACGAAAGCTTATCCATTTGTTTCTCTGCAGACCAAGCCTCACCCTATACGCCAACCAAAGATATTTATAGAAGACACATACATAAGAATAAAACAAATCATTAGTAGCTTTGAATGCGAGATTGGTTTATGCATTAATGGGATCAGTAATCTGTTGAATAGACCACTTCGAGGTTACCAGCTTCAAAACTTTACAGATTTCCAATAGGATTTTTCTTTCCGCGGATGTGTAACCACACGGTCAAATGAAGCTTTATTCCTATTTATGGAGTTAAAATGAATTTAGATATAATGCCATAGATATAATGCTGAAAAGGTAATATACTTCTAGCTTGAGGTAATTTCTAATTTACTGATATTGGTAATAGAAAAAGGGAAGGCTGTCGTCAACATTTTCTATTATCTCAAATTGAAAGAACCTAAGTGTGATAAGAGCAAATATCTCAGCCTTCGCCTTCTAATTTCGACACTCTTGTTCCGTTTTGAGTGTTCTTCACAATGCTTGGTAAGTGTATCTATAGCTTCTGTGCTGTTGCCAATTGTATGGGAGCTACTGTCGTACGTACAAAAACGAGAAATGAGACTTTTCCGTTTTGCAGATTTCTAGTGCTATAAATGTCAAAGATATACACCCAATAATGTTCCAAGTAAAAGAAAAATTCTAGCTCTCACAGCAGTAACAAGTTATGTAAAACGCGACTGGAAACCCTATACATACGGCACCTTTGGTAGACATCCGCTGACATTTTAAGAAGAAAGGACACATAAAACCAACTCGAAAATTCAGGCTGCTATTCTCGAAGGCTACGATCAAACAAAACATCAAACAGTTAATACAAACACTTCACTTTATAGCATCAAAAGAAAAATAAATAGAAAACGCCTAAAAAATTCCACAAAAATAATCATTATGAAGCTGTGTCTTGTTCCAAATACCACGTGCAGTTAATAGACGCAAATATTCAGAACAGATGTTGACATTAAATTATAATATATGGTACAGTGGCCTTCTGGAGTTCGCTAACAACTAAGATATATATTCATTTGATGCTTCGGCCATGATTGCAAATGGCCTTTTTTGCACTATTACAATAGATATCCACGATCGAGTTGTATCATCCACATGCATTAACAGTTCATTATTACCTATTATTATATATTATCTATTATTGATTTTTGCTATGTAAAATCTGTGTCAACGTGCAGGTAAATAGTACCCAAGAAAAGTGTCAGCTTGAATTTACATTTACTGAACATTCTCGATTGAAGCGATAGGCGCGTCCCGTCGATCAAGTAGTTCGCGGTTTTCGGCTAGTCACTGCTGCGTTAACGTCACTGATAGAAATGACAACAATCACCATGTAGAACAGTGGACAAAATAAAGTAATAGGAAGCAGAACACATACAGAAGAATATGATGAAAAAATTAATAGACATAGAGTAATATGCGATTGTTCTTAGTTAAGCAAAAACGTACCGCCGGGACCTGAGATATGAAGAAGAATTAAAAACGTATCTTCACTATCACCTGCCATAGATAGTCAACGAAAATAGGTTTCAACTAAAAGTAACTCGTGCTATAACCAACCATCTTTGTTTCAATAAATCAAATGAATTTTAGTTGAAAACTAAAGGATGCGATAAAATATATTTAGATTTTGATCAACGTGCCCATAAGTTGACGTACTAGTACCGAGGACAGAACCATGTCGAACAATGCAGGAAAATAATCATAAATATCCTTCGCTGGTAGGTGATTAAATAAAGCCTGGTAAAATTTTCGGTACGTTAAGTCCCATCGGAGTACGTGGCTCCATTGAAAGTGGTTCACGAAAAGTGGCGCGTGAGACAAAAGCTTACATGGTAACTAGAACACCGATGGCAGCGTAATGTGTTCAGTAGAGATCGTATGAGAAAGTACGTTAAAATATGATTGAACTTTTATCTTATTATCTCGAAGACTTTTCACGTAGCGATCACGCTCGATTTTGCATATTTCGAGTAATACCCCTTTTAGCAAAATATCCACCAATATTCAGTTATATCTGCTTTAGCTTTTTCTGTGCGTCTACCTCCTGAAAAGATTTTAGCTAATTAATCTGAAAAAGCTCCTCTAATTTCATCGTTAGTTTTCAAGTCACCTAAAATTCTACACGACATAAATAAAACAACGTGAGAGCACAGTTAGTCCAAGTAAATCAATGTTTTCAGTTTTTTTTTCAGCTGACCCAGGCCCATTTCTAGTTTTATATGAAGGTGTTTTACTCGAAAAGACCACTACAAAAAATATCGATTTGCATCTAGCTATAGCCAACCAATCTCTACATTCTTTCTTATTATGTCAACGATCAGCATAAACATACGGTACAGTAAAGCGTATAATAACAATTTTTTTAAAGTTTCTCGATTCAAACCTCGCGCGCAAGGACAACTATCCGACCCTCGACTCTTGGGCTGAGCTTCGCTTGTTCATGTTCAACGTTATCCAATGATGACTGTCGTGTTCCGAATTGAGCCCGCCGTGCGGACGCATCCTGCGACCCGCCTTTAATTAACACCGGCTGTCTGTTGTGTCCATGGTGAGCTTCCTCTGCCATACGAACAACGCTGTGCCTATAAACAGGAAATATTTAAATCAAAATGCAAACTTGACTTGATGTCATCGATACGTGGATATTCAAACAGATCTAAAAAATATAAGCAAGCGAAATATGCCTTTCATATTACAAGCTATGTTCAGGATATAGGATAGGGTCAAAATAGATCTTCCGTTTGATACGATGGTCGATATATGGCACTGCTGCATGACGTTATACGTCGCTACCATTGCGTTTAACAGGTTGTCCGTACTCAGAATAAAACAATGCTGGAATAAGTGGTAGTGGATCTTACGTAGGTTTACGACAATGGAAATGTCTACTAATTTCGTGCGAAACCTCTAAAATATGTGTGAGACGTTCAATTAATTAACTAGATTGTATAATGCTCTATAGGGGAGGTTTTACGCGATTGTTGTTTTTTTTATGCATTACAGATTTCTGCTAATGCTATAAATCGTGACCGAATTTAACAAGTCGAAATTAAATAAGTTTTTTTTTTAATTTCGAAATTAATGTTGTTAGTGCGCGAAATCTGGGTGGTAAATGTTTCAGTTTTACAGAAATGTTTGAGGGAAAACCGGTTGAGTTTACTGCAAAAAAATTGTTCTGAAAAAGAGATATTTCCTTAGTCTCGAAGATCCACACTAAGTTGTCAACCTTTTGTGCATTCTTCGAAGGCCATTGTGCTGCGAACACTCATGGAGGATTGGTGAACACAGTAGGCCAGGAGGCTTCAAGCGAAAGCACAATGCGTGAATGCTGTGAACGTTTCAAGAATGAAGATTAGAGTGTTGAAGACCAGCAAGGAGTTGACAAGATGTCGGGACACGAAGCGTAAGAATGCACTGCCACGATCGGGGAAAACTTTACATCTAATATGTTATAGAATTATAACTTCAGTACTAAAAATGCAGAAAGAAATAAAAAATGGGTCCCTGTGAATTGATTCCAGGCCAGTTTGTGTGGTGCATATAAGTGTGGTGCATTCTACGTGCAATCTGCGGAACTTTAATCAACAAAGAAACCGTCCGGAAGATACGGTAGCCATAAACAAGACATAGTTCAATATTTACCGCCAGCCGGACAGAGATCAGGCGTGCAGTGTAGAGTCGTTCTGGAAAGCAATAAAGTTCGGTAGCAATATCGGCTAAGTTGGGACTTAAAAGAATTGTAGTACTTACACGGGACATCTGTTGCTATGAGACACTTGCCAAAAATGAAGAAATGAATTAGTTCGCTACCTCAAGTTCCTTAAGAAACTCATGGACCGTTAGCACGGCAATCGAAGCACGCAGGTTACTTGATAACTATGCGAGACTTCATCGCAACCTTTAAATTACCTTTTGCATCGAGTAAAAGAGTATTCGATGTTGGCTTCAATTCGCTTTTCTTTCAGTATAGGTTTGTCTGACTACGGGGCTTTCAATGTCCCAAAAAAGGACAACTCGTAGGCAAGCATGTCCCAGGGTGTATTTACCTTAAGAAGCCATAGATAGGAAAAGTTACATATGGCAAGGAGAATGTTGAGTATGTGGCTTTCCAAAGGATGCCAGAGAGCCGAAACAGGTAAGTAAGTAATAAAGGAGAGGATTTCTAATACATATTAAAGAATCATCGTTCTATTTCTGTTGGCTCAAAAATTATTCAATCTTAAAGTACGTTGGATTCTCTTATAATATATATATATTATAAGAGAATCCACCGTACTTTATATATATATATATTGCTATGTGTAGTGCAAGAACACCACGATATTTGTATTAAGGACAGAGTTGGAAAACTCCGATGAATAGTTTTAATATATTCATCCAAGTAGATGAATAAATACTATGAAAGTTATGTGTGTATGGCGTTTCTCATTGCTTAAAGTTACGTGTATGCATGGAAACTCCTACAAACAACAAACTAGACTATTGCCCTATGTTTGTCTCTTCTCTAATTCCCCGACATTTTTCAGTAGCACTGTCTACTGCTACAGATTTCGAAACAGTTAAAATTACAAAAAAACATTTTGAAGTTAAAAAAAACATAATGAAGAAATGGAATATTGATAAAAACACAAATGAAATTCAACAATAAATACCTTTAGATTAAATAATTTGCTCATGTAAATATTAACAAAATTCCATTAAAGCTTACCAATGGTATCAACAAATGAATGCAATTGGTTAAGTGGCTGGAAAAGACATA